AAGAAAGTATTGCTGAGCTCTAGAGAAGGAAGGAAGCTGTGGAGATGCATGATCTGGAATTTTAGAGAGATGATATTTTTGAGTTCATCATTATGTCGACTTTTTACACACACATGACCCGCTTTCTTAGAGAAGTGTGTGCGAGCGTGCATGTATGTGTGTGTGTGTGTGTGTGCGTGTGCGTGTGTGCACGCACGTACACGCGTGAATGTGAGCGTCTAACAAAACCTGATAGCGCCACTTGAATGCCAGTAAGGTCACGAGCGGATTGACCCGAATCAATTTGCAGACAAAAGCCAAGGCACTTATTGGCCAATTAACGACCTATTCTCCAACAAAGTCGAGAGATATTCAGCGTGGGACGAGGATGAAAAGACATTCCTTTCATTTGACATCCGGGTTCTTTTCAGCCAATGCGGGTATTAGAGAAGAATTTCGAGTTAAACATTGTGCAGAAAAAAAAAAGAAAAAAAAAAAGAAGGGAAATATGAACATCACTGTCACCGAGTAGGGGTTGATTATCTAAAATTAAAAGCCGCCAAATCTGATGGTCGTCCTTTACAATGTCCACGAGCTTGTGAGAAGGATTTTGGAAGTAGGTACAACTCGCGTATTACAAGACGGGCACATGCAAAAATAAATAAATAAATAAATAAAAAAAATAAAAAATAAAAATAAAAATAAATAAAAAAACAAATAAATAAAAAAGTAAATAAATAAAGTAAAAAAGAAAACAAAATAAAAAACAAATAAAGTAAAAAAAGAAAAAAGAAAGTAATAATAGACCTAATTGATAGCATTTTGACGCTCACCTATTGACAAGCAATAGTCTTCACTGCTTTAAGTTTGTCATTTTTAAAACGTAAATAACAACAAAAAACATTTTTCTATTGAGGTCTTCATAAAATTAAAATTTTAACAATATTATTTATGATATTTTTCACCTAGTACAAGGCCCAAGAGTCACTCCAGGGAGGGTTTTGCTGAACAAGATTGCTGTAAGGGTATAAAGGGAGACGGTAAAAAGAGCATATTATGGGGATATGTAGGATAGATAAAGGTTGAACATGAAGAGGTGAAGGTTTTAGCTATCGAAAAAGCATCACTGTTAGTTAATTAAGCGACAATTCTGATGGAATACGAAAGGATGTGTTGACCTCGTGCAAGTATCATGGCGCTTCCACGTTGTGAATGTCAGAGCCGGTTGTTCGTCTGAATATTTGCCATGGAAAGAGCGATAGAGAAAGTGAGATAGCGACATTTTGACTGTGTGGAAACGGGTTGTAGGACAGAAACACTCCAACACGCACAAAAAGGTCTCGCAAACGATTTTGAACGCAGGCCGAGCCTAGGCAGTGAGGCCTGGACAGTACCAAATGTAGCGTAGCAGTAAGACTGAATTTTACTCTCGATCTAACGTGGACTTCGTAATTGGGCAGTAATACCCTATATTCTGCCTTACAGCGAATTCATATCAATGTATCCTTAATGTTTATTTGCTAACAATAGAATAACGATGATAATCAGTAGACAAAATCATATCCGGAATGTAAAGTAGAAAGAACCACCATGTATATATATATATATATATATATATATATATATATATATATATATATTAATGAAAAACAGACTACTTTAAGGCTCCATTGTAATAGTTTATTTCACCAGAGACCTTTTAAAGGACGGTGGATCCTCAGACATCATTTCCAAAAAGTTGAAACGAAAAATGAAATGAAAATTTACACTTTTGACGGGTAGTATTAAGTTTATGCAATTTAACAGAGAGGGTAGCGAGTAGTGGTGTGAGAGACATGGTCGAGTTTAGAGAGGATTTATTTTAATATTTCTTTCTATCATACTTAGTATTAAGGAAGGAGGGACCAGACATTGATCTATTTAATCGGTTAACTTAACGGAATTAATATATTGAAAGGGAAGGAGAGAAGAGATAAAAAGAAAAGGAAGAACAGGGGAGTAAAGAGAAAGAAGATGTATTTAGCGTTTACGGAGGAAGAAGAGGGGTGGTATAGTTTTATCAATTTATGTAAAAAAATGATTTTAACGTTTGGTAGTAATTTAAATGTTTAAAAAAATCCACGAAGAAATTAATCTGATGCTTGCTATCAATTTAAATATTTAACTCTTTTACAAATAATTTAGGGATTTAATATGAGTTAAATACTATATTTAAAAACGCACTAATAAAAAAGGACATTAAGAAAAATATAAAAAAAAAAAATTACTCATAGTAATCTTTTAATATTGTAAATGACTGTTTTCGTAATTTAATTATATATATATATATATATATATATATATTTCTGTATTTAGGCAGCATTCATTCTTTCATGTACATTTCATTGAATACGACAGACAAGGTGCTTTTATTTAGTTTTTTATACAATTTCTCATGCGATCTAATTTTTTCTTTTCGGATGATAAATTATATAAAAACTGTCCAAATGTTCTTTTTGTCCGAGCGCTTTCGGCTTTACATTTAGCCATTTTCAAGGATTAAATATTTTAACTGTTAAAGCAGAAATAGTTTGTTGTATGTATATTTTATAAAATGTTTTCATTTTTCAAAATGCATAGCCGAAAGCGCTCGGATAAAAAGAACATTCGAACAGTTTTTATATAATTTATCATCCGAAAATAAAAAAAAATTAGTTCACATGAGAAATTATCTAAAAAACAAAATAAAAGCACCTATTCTGTCGTATTCAATAAAATGTATATATATATATATATATATATATATATATATATATATGTGTGTGTGTGTGTGTGTGTGTGTGTGTGTGTGTGTAAAAATATATTTTAAAACAAGAGAATTCTTATGTAGAAGGAATCATATTTTTAAATAATTATATATATATATATATATGTGTGTGTGTGTGTGTGTGTGTGTGTAAGCAAATATATGGATATAGATCCGACAGTATGAAGAAAAATATACTGAAAAAACAAACAAAAATCCTAATATGCGATTATTACATATATATTTTTACAACATCGCCCACGTGACGACGACGTGATCATATTTAAACGGAAAGCTGATCTTATAAAAGATTTCAGTTATCTGTTTGGATTGGTATTCCTTTTATGTCCATCGTCTTTTTCATGTTGAATTGTATATGGTCTATGTTAATTATGTTTTTATGAATATGTCCTGAAGATGGTCTATTAGACCGAAACGTCCGACGTTGATATTAAACATTAAAACAGCATAATCGCATATTAGGATTTTTGTTTGTTTTTCAGTATATTTTTCTTCATATATATATATATATATATATATATATATAACGACAAAACTCCTGCATATGAAACGCAGGAAACAAAAAATCGCACCGCAGCACGTAACGCCACACATGGCCACGCAAGAGTGAAAACGTGAAGTATTAAGTATGTGAATCCGTTGGTATAAACCAGTGGCTTCTGTGATCAATTGTAGGCATTTAAGAATATTAGTAGAGATTTCATACTTTATTTTGTTCAGGTTAGTTTCAACAGTTTTATGTATATAGTTTCAAGAATTTTTAGTTTTTCCAAATTTGTGTATGCGGCCAGGCATCTTGTTTTAAATGCCTAAAAATGTTAGAGTTATTATTCAAATGTAGTGTCAAGCGTCATGAAAGCGAGTTTGTGGTATGACCAATATAAATATTATTTAATTCGATAGAGATACAATCTCCCAAAGGGCACTTGAATTTGTAAATTATGTTGGTTTTTGCAAATCATTAACTGGGGGAAGAATCATTACGAATAATTGAGTTGGATATACTAGATTTAGTATAGTATATGATTAACTTAATTTTTTTGCTAGGATCTGTTGTAGATATATTAGTATTTACTATTTTTTTTAGTATATTTCATCTTGTTTATAATTTGTATGCATTTGATTACGACATAGGAGATTAATATGTTTGAGATTACATAAAATAAATAGACAAAACTTGTCTATATTATTTAATGAAACATTCATCAATGAAAAATGCTGCCTAAATACAGACAAAATATATAAATATATATATATATATATATATATATATATATATATATATATATATATATATATATATAAAAAGGGTTTATAAAGGTTTTCTAATTATGCATTTACTGAATCAAATAAAACATTGTACAAATATTAGCAGGACTAATATCCCAAGATTGATGCACTGGTGCTTATTGGTCTCCGTTGTGCATTCTAATTGAAGGTTACCAGATTTGCATGCTAACTGAAGTTTGCATTATCCGCATGCTAATTGGAGGTTATCTGATCTGCATGTTAATTGGAGGTTGCATAGTATGCATGCTAATTGAAGACTAAATGATTTGTATGTTGATTGGAAAGCACTTTGAGGTCGAGGACAGTTATTCGAGTCGTGATATGAAGGACGAATCGGAAGGAATTTCGTGCAGATGAAAAAGTTCTCTTACAAAAGTTTCGGCGTAGCTGATTCGGCATCGCTGATTCGGCGTCAGAAAAATAATTGCACTATTCGGCACAGCCGTTTAGACGTCAGACTGTTTCGACGTCACTGTCTTTGACCGGACGCAACTCCCCCCCCCGGACCCCCCCAAAAAGGATAAAAAGCATTGAAAACACCCAACTTTTAACATGACTTTTTATTCATTTAGGGAATTAAGGATCCTATTAAATCAATAATGGAATAATGTAAATTAAAATTTAAATTACAAAATATTGTATTTCAATAAATTAAAAAACTTATTAAAGTTATTTATTCATCGTGTGTCACTTTGTTTTTTCCACGTTTTGATAAAATATTTGTTTCCATTTGGAATAAAAGTTGTTTTTTTTTACGATTGAAAAATATGAAGCTGTACTGAAGGAAATATAATATAACGACTCTTTTTCTTAAATTTAAAAATGCCACCAACTACTAATTCTCTTAAATATAAAAATACCTCCAGGTACTCTTTTTCTTAAATTGGACTATTCGAGCATTAATATTATTAATTTGACTACTAAATCAGAGAGAGAGAGAGAGAGAGAGAGAGAGAGAGAGAGAGAGAGAGAGAGAGAGAGGAAAAAAATTGACTATAATGATGAAGTAATAATCTGACCATATTTAAGCATTTGCATCAAGTCAAGTCCAAAAGAAATAGTCTACCTTTATTGAAAGGTGGTTAATTGTTGCCCGATTGTGCCAGGTGAAAGGCGCTGACTTGGATTGTCATTTTAATGTATGAAATGCAAGATGATTTGAGGCTAATTATCTGTTCATGAGTTAAGCCACTCCCTATTAAGCTCTTTTTTTTTTTTAGCTTGTTGATCAATTTCTAATAATCTTAGCTAGAAGATATAAGCTATTCGTCCCTTTTATTTTTGCCATTTTTTTTTTGTTATAACTTCCCAAATCCTCTCAGTGAAAGAGATCTCAATTCTCTGGTAGGTGCGGAAAACCTTTCGACTTTCGATATTTGGTGTTTTGTCTGAATGTTTCTTTGTGAGGAATTTATTCGTCAGTTTAAATCACACATTTTTTTCCGTCTAGTTAACTGTTATTTCTCTCACGATTATGATTTACGGGTGGAGCCTTGGGTTCTAATAGTAATAATAAATTTTCTTTTGTTGTCTGTAAATATAATTTCACATTGTAAATATTCAATGGGGAGAAATTTTGGTGGAGCCGTGGAAGAGCTAGGTTTGACCTGAAATAATCATTTCTTCCCCATCATTGTAGATTAAACACCCTCGATCACGAGTATGAAAAAAAAAATTAAAAAAGTTAATAGGGGACCTATTTTTGTCATGCAAATTCATTGTAAAAAAAAAAAAAAAAAAAAACTACTCATACGATATGAATTGTTAAAAAAATATAAATTCGTAATCTGGAGTGCTTAATCGATAGTAATATAAAAAAAGTGTCCCAGAGTACGAATTAAAAGAAAAAGATTAACATTTTAAGAAAACACGTCGGAAAAGTACATTTGTTTGAGATTGCGCGGGTGCGTATGGTCCGTAACACCTTAGAGTCGTAGAAGCAGCAAATTTACTGAAGCCATAGCAACAGTGGCATCTCTAAGGAATGATAGTTTTTATTTCAGTCTGGTTGCCACCCACTCTGCATCGCTATTTAACCCACAGCTGGAGTAAGGTGGGTTCATACCTTTTCCAAGCGTATTAGTGCAAAGCGAACAAAATAGAATTGAACTCGGCACGCCTAATTCACTTTCCGGGTCGATATCGCTCACACGCTTAGATAGGAGGATAAATTTACAATTTAAAATGGAGCCTTTTATTAACTTTTACGAAATTTAATAAAATGTTTTTTTTTTATGTTCATGATCTCAAGTGCTTAATCTTGCGCAATCAGAAAACATTGAATTGAAAATTGGATTATTTTTAGTCGCAGTGTCAACTTCAGCAATACTTTGTAAGTTTGCGTTACATTTATCGACCGACAACTCTACAATTATACCGACTGGACAAGTTATGACGTTTATAGAGAAATTGGATTATGGAGTACGTAATAAAAGTATAAATGTGCTCTTATGGTGAAAGGGAAATATTTTAGTGAATGTGTCAGGGTTTATAACAAGTGCGGCTAAAAGATAGGACATAAAAAATACGCACTTCTCTATTTCAGTTTTAGGTCACTCAGTTTTTTAATCGCGTTCCCAGCAAGCAAGACAGTAAAGCCACTAAGACAAAAGGGAGTTACTAGGTGTGAAAGAATTAAAAAACAGAAACCATTAAGAAGGAACGAGACAATGGAAGAGTAATCAGGAAGACAGTATATAACAATTAACATTGGCTGTCTATATCTCTGAGATGAGGTATTATGATTACTTGCATTATTTACATTATTCGGACTGTTATCCTCATCTTCATTGCCATATTCGCAACGTTTCGGCCTCTATATCTCTGAGATGAGGTATTATGATTACTTGCATTATTTACATTATTCGGACTGTTATCCTCATCTTCATTGCCATATTCGCAACGTTTCGGCCTCTATATCTCTGAGATGAGGTATTATGATTACTTGCATTATTTACATTATTCGGACTGTTATCCTCATCTTCATTGCCATATTGGCAACGTTTCGGCCTCCATATCTCTGAGATGAGGTATTATGATTACTTGCATTATTTACATTATTCGGACTGTTATCCTCATCTTCATTGCCATATTGGCAACGTTTCGGCCTCTATATCTCTGAGATGAGGTATTATGATTACTTGCATTATTTACATTATTCGGACTGTTATCCTCATCTTCATTGCCATATTGGCAACGTTTCGGCCTCTATATCTCTGAGATGAGGTATTATGATTACTTGCATTATTTACATTATTCGGACTGTTATCCTCATCTTCAATGACATATTCATAACGTTTCGGTCGTTGTACGCTCCGGCCTCCTTCAGGTGATTGAATCTACTCCGATTGACGAAATAAAGAGTTCTTTCGAAATTCCAATCACCCTTGAGTATTGAGTTACAACGTTTCGTCCCTCAAGGTCGCATAGCACAGTGGATAAACGCGTTGGTTAGATCCAGTGACAGGACCCAAAGAGAGTGAGTTCAATACTCGGTTAACGCAGTGGAGAACTTGAAGAGAGGAATTAACAGGAGATAACTGATAACTGACACCCATTAAACATGCCACGTGGAACTGGAACAGTCTACCCCAGTGAGCGAAATAAAGGGTTCAATTCGACATTCCAACCACCTGAAGAAGGCCGGAGCGTACAACGGCCGAAACATTGTAATAAATATGGCGACAAAGATGAGAACAATAGTCCGAATAATGTAAATAGTATACATAATACCTCATCTCAGAAATATAGACAGATACTGAAAGGCCGAAACGTTGGAATAAATATGGTGACAAAGATGAGGACAATAGTCCGAATAATGTAAATAGTGTACATAATACCTCATCTCAGAAATATAGACAGATACTGAAAGGCCGAAAGGTTGTAATAAATATGTCGACAAAGATGAGGACAATAGTTCGTATAATGTAAATAGTGTACATAATACCTCATCTCAGAAATATAGAGAGATGCTGAAGGGCCCAATAATGTAAATAGTGCCACATTTTTCAAGCATAAAATCGTTCTAGAGTCAAATGGTATTAAATCCTGTTCGTATCACACAGCTACTTTTTACCTGTTACGTTACACATACGATGTCCTGCTGAGTCCGTCCATACAAACGTTTTCTTTTGACTTTTCCATTGACTTACTTATAGCGTGTTTTTGATTAAATTCTTGGTGCTGTATTTGCCATATTAGGTGTGGTGGAAACGTTCCTTTAGCTAATCTATTGCTATTTACATGGCAAATGTTTGGACGAGCTATACATTATTTAGTTCTTCATGTTTTCACCGCTAGGACCCACCATGCTACATACATAGGCTCGACTTATCCTCATTGATTTTGTATTCTACTGGTATAGAGGAATTTCACTCAGACAACTTCCTCAGAACTGACCCCTGAGAGGATGCTTCCTCGACTATTACAATTCTTCAAGTCTAACGTAAAACCGTACTTCTTACTTCCTCCATTTACGCTCGTACAACAACCTCTTTCAGTAACCCTCTATCTTGAGTGACTCTTGTGCCTTATTTTACGGGAGATAATGTGAGAATGATCTCTTTTGATTGTATTGTAATATTTGTCATGTAAGTACGTGTTTTGTTTTTTAATTTTCCAAATTAGCGTCTTTTTCTTTGATTTTAAAGCTGAACCCGAAAGAAAATAAGCGACGGTTTTAGCCTATTAAGTTTTATTTTAAAAAGGAATCGACCGTAGTCGGGATCATCGAGTTAATACGAACGATCCCTTTCTTAGTTGCATAGTATATCTTTCGCCAGGATTACATAGAGTTTTGAATTCAGTGTTTTCCTTCTCCTACACCGGTTACCAACCAAGTCTATAGAAACCAGTCTGTCATACTATTTTACCCATAGCTGGGGGAGAAGAGTTGGAGTCATTCTTTTCCCAATTATGCTATGGATTCGAATGGAATTCGAACTCGACTTTCCGATTTCTCAATCTAACCCCTGCCGCAATACAGCATCGTTATTCTCGTCGTGGTCGGAATATTTTATTTTAAGCAAACTAAAAATGCAACTTACTTCTACAAAAAAAAAGGGAGCATTTGTTCAGTTTATGAAGAAAATGTATTGTAAATAATCGAACGCATCAAAATGGTTTGGAAAGAAGAACATTACAGATCGATTAGGCAGAATTGATAAAATAACCAAATAAAGCGTTGGGGGATATGAGGATGATTTGAACTCTCTTTTGAAGTGGTATGGCGTCTCCTCGCTGTTAGGTCTGAAATGGTGGAACTAAAGAATGGTGCTTATTAGAAAATATTCCTTGGAAAGAGCAGTAGGCTTCTAATATTTCGCATGTAGGCAAGCGATTGCATCTTGAACAAATAAGACTTCATCTACAAGACGACCTTTTCAAGGCTGGAAAGTTAGTATTTAACAATTCCAAACCAGATATGGTAGCAATATTCCGTTTTTGGTCAAACCTGACTCTTTTGAGTGTCTGGTACTTCCTGGAGCGATAGAATAAGCCGACCATTTTCCCAGCATCTATGATTGAATAGAAAATTTCCACTGGATTGATCTTGTGACCCAAGAGACTTTCAAAGCATAGAGCGCCAATGAGATTTTTGGAGATTGCTAAAAGCTTTGTCATAAAGTTGACCCCGAAAAAATGTATCATATTTTTGGTACGACCATATCAAGATGAAATACCGTCTCTCGTGCGATCACCGAAGTGAAACAACGTCGAACCTGGTCAGTACCTTAAATGGGTGGCCGCTTGGGAAAACCTGATAACGGAAGCTTGGAGGTGCAGGCGGTTTAGAAAACTGCACGGTTTTGAGGAAATGGAGAAGCAAGTTCCAAATCCAGTTGAGTTAGTTATATAAACTTACGCGCAAGTACCCTTGGAAAAGTTATTAATCCACTTCTTTCTTCCTTCAACTATGGGTTAATTAGAATATTAGTAATTTATTATTGCAGTAGAATCCTTCATATCCGGAGAGACTCATATCCGGAATCCCGTATATCCGGACATGATTTCGATGTGTATATTTGAACTATTTGGGTGATATGTAACTGATTTGAAATTTCTATTTTTTCTGAAAATTTACTTTGGATAATTGCTTATGCTTATTCCACCCTAATGGCTTGTATTGGTGCAAAAGATGATGGGAATAAGAGAAAAAGAACAACTTTGGAGTTATCAGAAAAAGTGGAGATTTTAAACAGACTAGACGCTGGTGAAAGTTCATTGTAACTAATGGCTGAGTTCAACATAGGAAAGTCAACATGTATGATATAAAATCTTCCAATGAAACTATTCTCCAGCGTTTACACTGTCACAGTGAACAAGGAAATTGAATGATTGTGATGAAACCTCGACTGAAATTGAAAAAAGCTATTGAAAAACCTGTCAGTTTTATGGAAAGAAAGCCAGCATTCAGCTATGACAATTGCAATAACGCACGCAGAGATAAAAAATAAGTGTCTTTCGTTTAAAAATTTTCAAGAACAAAAGCAAAACGAAATGCGGAAAAAGTTGAGAATGACATTAGAAGAGAAAGAATCATCATGCAACAGCGATTAAAAAAATCCTCGTTACATTATTTGTTTTGCATACGTGGCATATTTAATTTAATGAATTTTCATTAATTTTCCATAATTTATTTCTTTTTCTTTAAAATTAATTCCGTTATATTTCACTCACCATTAGCTTATTTTGTTTACTATAAAACATTCCAAATTAATGTTAAACCTGATTTCAGTTCTTTTATTTTAATCTAAATATAACCCCTCATATACGGACTTTGTAACCAATTCCACATATCCGGAAGGCCTTCTTAGTTCAGTTGTCAGGGATTCTATTGTATCTTTAACAATTATTAGAGTCTAAAGATAATGTCTCGCTTTAAAATAACCTGCAATCATTTGATACACCATAAAAAAACAAAAACAAATCAGCCAATCAATTAATCGATCCATCAACCGATTAGACCAATCAAAAATAAATAAATTCACTAGATAACAGATCATATGTCTGCAATACTTCGATAATTATGATAGAAATAGTCATACGTGAACAGATGACACTATGTTGACAGACTATGATAGAAATATAAACGCATTAAATCTTGTTTTAATGCAGTGGCACAAATATCTAAACTGGGATTCGCAGCTTCATTATTTACATTATTGTCAAAATATGTGGTGATAGGACAAACCACATGAAGTAGTACATTTATACCTTTAGAAAAAAGCATTAATGAATTTAATTAGTCTCAATATTGAAGCATCTAGAAATTGTTGAAATTACTACATTGTTATATTGAGCTACTAGACGGTCATGGTGGTCCTTCTGTTACCTTTTAACATTCACTATAATTAGTTTAGTGTTGTTCAAATATGAAGCGTCCATTGAAGCTCGAATTTGATACAGTAATAAACATAATCGAAATTAGAATAATATATTCAATAACGTATCTGTCTATATCTCTAAGATGAGGTATTATGATTATTTGCATTATTTACATTATTAGGACTGTTATTCTCATCTTCATTGCCATATTCATAACGTTTCGAGTTTGTACGCTCCGGCCTTCTTCAGGTGATTGGATTCCTGAGATGAGGTATTATAATTACTTGCATTATCTACATTATTCGGACTATTATCCTCATCTTCATTGCCATATTCACAACGTTTCGGGCATTGTACGCTCCGGCCTTTTTATTTTGTCCGCCGGGGTAGATTGTTCTAGTTTCACCTGCCATGCCTCTACTCTCCAGTTTTTCGGTTCACCACTGCTGTGGCCTGGTATTGAACTCACAACTTCGGATCTAGTCAATAGATCTAACCAAAAAGGCTGAAACGTTGTGAATATGGCAATGAAGATGAGGATAACCGTCCGAATAATGTAAATAATGTAAATTATCATAATACCTCATCTCAGAGATATAAACAAGGATAAGCAGGTTCGTATCCAAGTTTGGTCGAGTCTGTCCCAGTTTGAAGGGGTCAGTCCCAGTGATATAAGGGATTAGTATCCGTTGCTTAACCTATAAAAAAAATTGTAATCTTTTTCCAGTTAGTGATTTTGGAACTTCTGATAGACTCACGTATACAGATAAATATACTTTATATTAAGTAAAAGATTTAAACACGGCAAAAGTTCTTCATGTATATATGTTCAATAAACATGAATGAACAAAGAATGCCTGTTAATCCCTTTAAGACTTTTATCTGGTCTCTAATAAGTTGTTTGATATCAGATGGAAACTTGTAACGAAACTTACCGAAATCGTGTGTAATGTTCCGAATACTTGTGATCGTCGATGGTGGATTTCCAGGAAAGAAGGTAGAAAAGCGAGTGCTGATAACCATTCAAAGTTTGGAATTAAAGTTGGTTCGTTCACGGGAGGTAAGTGTCGAATAGATTTTAGCGCCCTTACAGTTCAAGGGCATTTTAACACGTGCGCGCCGAGATTGAAACAAATTTTATTGATAATGGATTATTGATAGCCGTTTGATGGATAAGGCTTTCAGAATTTTTAATCGCTTTTGGCAGTTGGAATAGCAGCGGAATTAAAAACAAAATGCCAAGAAGCAGAATAAGACCGTCAGATAGATAGATAGATATGAATAGGCTGAGATAGATAGATAGATAGATAGATAGATAGATAGATAGATAGTTAATGAAGAGAGTGAGATAGATAGATAGATAGATAGATAGATAGATAGATAGATAGATAGATAGATAATGAAAAGAGTGAGAAAGATAGATAGATAAATAGATAGATCGATATGAAGAGGCTGATGTAGATAGATAGATAGATAGATAGATAGATAGATAATGAAGAGAGTGAGAAAGATAGATAGATAAATAGATCGATATGAAGAGGCTGAGATAGATAGATAGATAGATAGATAGATAGATAGATATGAAGATGCTGAGATAGATAGATAGATAGATAGATAGAGAGATATGAACAGACTGAGACAGATAGATAGATAAATAGATAGATATGAAGAGGCTGAGAAAGATAGATGTGAATATGCTGAGATAGATAGATAAATATGGAGAGGCTTAGATAGATAGATAGATAGATAGATAGATATGAAGAAGCTTCATCTTGGTATTGAGACCTGGTTTGTTAATTCAAATATCACATTCTCAGTCTGTTCATTATCTATCTATCTATCTATCTATCTATCTATCTATCTCAGTCTGTTCATTATCTATCTATCTATCTATCTATCTATCTATCTATCTATATTTATTATTTTCTCAATGTCTAATTTTTCTGTTTTTATTTTGTTTCAGGTAAGTGTCACTCTTCACACAGAAAATCCATAAAGCTGCATTTTCCTGTGGACCTCCCACAGTGAGACGGAAAAATCGCCCAATGTCTGTCGGTATCGTATAGTCTGGGTTCACGCTCTAGGTTAGTGACAACAATGTTTCATCCTCGATGCTATACCTGACCCTAAGGATTACCATCTAAACGACAGCTTTGTCGTAGATACCGCAGAAACGTATGTGCCAAATTAGGAGATACACGTAAAGAGGTACAGATAATGACGTTGATACGAATGAAAGCAACACCAGTTGTTATATGACGCAAATTGGCGGGAAACGGAGGAAATAAATGAATACTAGAGAAGAAAATTGCATCGCCCTCTGACGAGATCTGTCTGCAACAGAAAGGAAGGGAGGTAATCGGAGTGAAAGATGAGAAACGGAGACCTTTGTAAACATACATCACCATTATCATTATGTCGCTCTGTGGCAACCATGTAGCATTTGTGGTACTGTTTCTTGCAATCAAACGTGGAAAGGGGACAATGGTTGGGACTGATGGCAGAAATGGTGGCTTGGTTGTCAGAGATGTCTATAATCAGATGTAGAGAAAGAGGGTTGAAAAGAACAAAAAAGAAACAAGAAACAAGTCAAAACAACTGCAAATGGCTAATAATCATCCGACGGAGATGTGGCGGTTGTTACAACCATAATAATCTAATATATAAACATAATTAGTCTAAGTGTGTCTGTCTGAAATAAGACTATCGAATAAGTAGTTATTCAATTCCTACGAAATTTGTTAAGATGTCTTACGTGAATTTCAAAAATTAGTTTAATTTTAAAAGGTAAATATTTTATATTGTATAAAGTCGTGAAACATGCTTTACTGGATGGATTGATAGGAATAAATAGAGTTTTAGAAATTGAAATCGAGAATTAGAATGATCGATAAACAATATATTATATATATATTATACTTACTTGGCTTATGTCAAAGGGTATCCGAAGGGCAGAGTCTCGTCTCGGGAAACTGACTCCGTTTTTTACATGGTCTATAGGGAATGTTTGCCTGAGCCTACGGGCTCGGATACCCCAATTTAAAACTCGGCCTTGTGCCACATCTTGCTGCGTGGGGCAACGGTAAATAATTACACACACACACACACACACACACACATATATATATATATATATATATATATATATATATATATATATATATATATATATATATATATATACATATAAATATAGATAACTAGACTCGTTTCGAAAAACCCTCGAATTTTTGATTTGCTAATCAAATCAATCTCGAGGGAAAAAAAGTTTTAAAAAAAGAAAGAGCTACAAACATGAACTTCTGCCGACAAAAAAAATCGCACAGATGCAGGTCTGAAGCCCAAAGAAAAAACCCCGATACGAGTAACAACTAACTAACAAAAGAGCTCAATACAACCGTAGAGCAGACCTAGATACACCTAGTGAGCCAGACTTTCCCTGACGATCCGTTTAGGTGAAACCTAGGTAGGTTTGTCTGGCTCACTAGGTGTATCTATATCTATCTATCTATCTATCTATCTATCTATATATATATATATATATATATATATATATATATATATATATATATATATGTATGTATGTATGTATATATGATCAAATGTGGATAACATATGGATCAGATTTCGACAAGATGATAAAATAAACAAATAGGAATCGTGTATGAATCCAACACTTTTATTCTTAATTTAATTCTTTAATTCACTTTTATTAAAACTTTGTCAGAGAAAACAGACAAAAAATCAAAAAGCACAGATATTTTCAATTATATTCGGGTCAGTTTTCACTCGTCAGAAACGTTTCACGTGCATTAAAAGTAGATAATTACATATTTTAATGTAAAATTGTGAAGATTCTTGTATGTCTAAGTGGGCATCTGATGTTAATGTGTATTCATAATTGTGTATGTGTGTCTGTCTAGTAAGAATTTTGATGTTTTCATATATATATATATATATATATATATATATATATATATATATATATATATATATGTGTGTGTGTGTGTGTGTGTGTGTATTAGGTACCTCCAAAAATTCGGTATACCTAAGGTTTAAATGTATTTTTCATAAAGGAAAAATCCTTTTCGAAGCTTTCCCCCAGCTTCAATTGAAATCTAAAGGATTAAATTTTCTAATTCCAGAAAAAATACTATAGAGTATTTCAAATAGAAATTTGTATTATTTTTTTGTCGATTCCTCCGAAAAACCAATCGAAACGGCCATTTTTAACGTTTTTTAGAGAAATGTACACAAAACGTATTTTTCGTTTTTGAAAATCCCGTTAAAATAAGATATGCATTTCCGATTTGTTACTTTCATAAAATTATCAAATTTAAAGTTAAATTAATCTGTTCTGAAACAAATATCACTTTTTATAGAATAATTTTTTTAGACAAACTTTTAACCTCGGTGTATTGTTATTTTCACGTCTCTATCGATAATTTGATGGCTGAATATGTTTACAGGTTTAGTATGGTGCACCAAAATTGTTATAATTTTATGAATTCTAAGTAAGGACCTTTTTTTGGTATCGTATAATAATTTAAAATATAAAAATTTCTTACATTATTGAGTTATCTCTATAGTGGTATCACATTATTTAATAGCTAAGATAATGAGAAATAATTTTATTAATTATTAATATTACATTGTTATTGCACTTATTTTAATTTAATAAGTGAAATAATAATTGATAAAATTACTATTATATTAATAATTAAATTATTTCACTCAGTTATTAATTATTTAATTGAAAAATGAGATAATTTTATTATCTCAATTTAATTTTTAATTTAATAACTGAGAGTGAGATAATCCGAAGACCATTATATGTCAACGGTCTTTCCCCAAGGGGGAGACAAGCCTTGAAGTACTTGAACTTTTAGCCATAATATCACTTACGAGATACCATTCTAAGAAATATATATATATATATATAACAAATTTTGACACTCAAAAAAAAAAAATCTTTAATTATGGTAAAATGTTTTGGCAGCATGATTTGTATTAAGCTTTTAATTTTCGGTCCCAAAAAATATAATCTTCACTTAAAAACTTAATAACCTAACGCGTATTCTGTTTGGAAGAATTAAAAAAAAAAAATTAAAATTAAAGAAAAATGAAAAAAAATTAAAAGAAAAATGCAAACAATTCTTGTAAAAATTCTTTATTCATTGAACTTTTTTTTCAGATAATACTATCCTTTATATATATTATTTATAAAAGAAAATGCAAGCCTATCTAATTATATAATTAGATAGTTTGGAGCAGATTTTTAAAAAGTTGGCAGTAGTTGTGAAAATAAATATAACAAAATGGATGATTTACTTTCTCCAAAGAGTCCTTCTTATAAGTAATATAAAACAATTTGCGAACTGTTTGAAATTCTAGAAAATTTACGGGAAAAATAATTTGGTTTAAACACGCGTTCAGTTTACGTAAAAATAGGGTTTGATTTAATGTACGGAACAAAAATATAATTTAGTTTAAACCACGGTTTCAATTCAGGGAAAAATATAGTTTATAGTTTGGTTTAAGCTCCGCCTTCATTTTATGGAAAAATGTACTTTGGTTTAAACAACATTTCATTTTAGAGAAAAATAAAATTTGGTTTAAAACCAGAATTCATTTTAGGGAAAATATATTAATTGGTTTAACAACCTCATTCAATTTAGTGAAAAATATAGTTTGGTTTAAACTACGCTTCAATTTACGTAAAAATATAGCTTAACTCCTTCCTTCAATTTACGTAAAAACATAGTGTGGTTCAATCACCGCTTCAATTTAGTGAAAAATATAATTGCGTTTAGCACCGGACTTCAATGAAGGGAAAATATGGAGCCAGAGTAACCACCGCCTTCAATTTCGGTAGAAAATATATTTTCTTTCAGCTCCCGTCTTCAATTAAGAGAAAATAGAAGTTTAATTTAAGCCCTGCTTCAATTTATAGAAAAATATTGTTTGGTTTAACCCACGCGTTCAACTGATTGAAAAATATCACACTTTCAATTCAGGGAAAATATGGTGTGATTTCACCTCAGCGTTCGATTTATGGAAAAATATAGTTTGATCTAACCTCGGGCTTCAATTTAGGTTAAAATAATATTTCGTTTAACACACGCTTTCAGTTTAGAGAAAATATGATTTGCACTATTTACATTGTTTGGACTATCATCCTCATTTTTGTTACCATATTTATCACAACGTTTCGACCGTTGTACGCCCCGGCCTTCTTCATTTGATTGGAATTTCGAACTAAACCCTTTATTTCGCTCGCCGGGGTAGACTGTTCTAGTTCACGTGCCATGTTTAATGGATGACAGTTATTAGTTATCTCCTGTTAATTCACCAGGTTAAGTTCTCCACTGCCTTAACCAGGTATTGAACTCACATTCTTTGGGTCCTGCCAATGCCTTTATCCACTGTGCCATGTGTCCCCAATAATTTACTTTAACACCCTCCTTGAATTTAGGGAAGAATATAATTTGGTTTAATTCATACATTCAATTTACTGAAAAATATAGCTAGGATTATCTTTAATTCAGGGAAAAATATAATTTGTTTATGCGTTCTTGCTGTGAAGATTTGCCTCGGCGAGACCAGGGAGTGTCGTTCGTTTGAGCACTTTCCATGGAAGTAGCTGTAGAGTAGCGATCGGCTTACCACATCCCGCCTGTGGGAGAGATGTTAAAGGGTGGAGAATAGAACGTCACTCACAAGGGCTCGGAGACGCTTTTGAACTCTGTCATGGCTGGAAAGTGAGGTCTGGGCTGCGCCCGCCAAAATATGACAATAGTATTTCAATTTTGGACCGATCCGGCTCTTGTAAAGGGAGAAGATATTAAAAAGGTACTTAATGGAGCGGTACAGAGGACCGAGCATTTTACCTGCATCTTTAGCAATGGATCATATGTATGAGTTCCACTTGAGGTCGGGTGTGAGTTTGAGGCGCAACAGACTTTCAAAGGACGGTGCTTCCCCGAAAGGACCTGCATTCATCCAGACTGGCAGTAATTCGGGGTCAGATAGCTAATGATGGAGTATAACTAGCTTTGGTCTTCGAGGCATTGAATGTATTCCTCCAGGGTATTTTGTGGAAGAAAATTCATTTGCCAAACTCTGACCATCGAGTGTTTTAGAGGTGCGCCGGAAAAAAAAATCATATTATTGGCATAGAGTTTTACAAGTAATCGGAGTATATTCTTCAGTAGATCATTTATGTGGGTCCAACAAATTCTTGGTCCGAGGAGTAACCTCTGGGGGACGCCTGGGTTGACCTCTAGAGAACCGGAGGACTGGTCATTAATAACTCCCTTCAGGGACCTATGTGTTAGGAAAGATTTTATGATCAAGATGACCCTTCCAGAGATTTGCCTCGGCGTAACCAGGGAATGTAGCTCGTCTGAGCACTTTCCGTGGAAGTATCGGTAGAGCAGCGACAGGCTCACCACATCCCGGCCGGTGGGAGAGAGGTTGAAAGATGGAGAATATAACATCACCCACAAGTGCTCGAAGACACTTTTGGACTCTATCAAACGTATAGAGTGAGGTCAAGGTAGATCCCGTCCAAACATAACAACAGTACTCCATTTTTGGCCTGATTCGGATCTTGATAAAATATAGCAGGAGGAGTCAGGTACTTACTGGAGTGGCACAGGGAGCCGATCATTTTATCTGCATCATTAGCAATAGATCATATGTACGAGTTCCACTTGAGGTCAGGTATGAGTTTGAGGCCCAACACTCTTCCACGGCACGGTACTACCTCGAGAGGATCTCCGTTCATCCCGATTGTTGGTAGTTCGGGTTCAGATCGGCGATGATGGAATGTAACTAGCTTAGTCTTCGAGGCATTCAATATCAACAGCCAGTTTTTACCCCTTTTTGTACAAGGTCGAGACATTAGTCGCCAATCTCTGGCCGTCAGTAGCTTCAGAGATGCACACGTATATAAAAGTTGGTCCGAGGAGTGACCCCTGGAGGACGCCTTCATTGACCTCTAGAACTTCGGAAGACTGGCCATTGATAACTACATTTAGTGACCTACCTGTTAGGAAGAAATTTATGATCAAGAAGACCCTTCCAGTCATTCCATACCTGGAGAGCTTGTGTGTTAAGCCTTTGTGCTACACCTTGTCGAAGGCCTTTGAGATATCTAGTGTTATGATTCTCGAGGTGTGTTTGTCGTCAAGAGCCTCATTGATTCTGTGATCGATGATAGTCAGGACGTCAGCAGTGGATCGCGTCGACCGAAACCCATACTGCTCGTCGCTGAAGAGATTGTTTTTTTTTTCTAGATGCTCGACGACCTTATTCATTAGGACGTCAAAAAGCTTACTGATGGTACCGAGGAAACTGATGGGTCTTTAATGGGAGAGGAAAGATTACACGCTCACGTTCTTGAAAACCGGGCATATACTTGACACTTTCCACAGGCTTGTGAAGGATTTCTCCTTCAAGCAGCAGTTGAATAACTTCTCTAGGATTGGGGATAATTCCGGGTTGACGTTCTTAAGGACAACCAGCGGAATTTTGTCTAGAGCAGTGGTTTCCCTAGGGTCAAGGTCTTTGAAAAATCTAAAGACTTCTCGTGCTGTGATGATAATATTACTGAGATTGTACTCAGTGTGACATGGGAATTAAAGGAGGGGTTGGTCTTTGAGTTAGAGGCAAAGATGGAAGCCAAGAGGTTCGCCTTATCTCTCTCGGGGCCATTTATAATTGTGGGCACGGCCGCTTTACCTCTGTTAATGATTTGGTTGGTGATCTTCTAGAATTCACGGGATTCAATTTGTTTCTGTAAAATATTGGTTAATGACAGAGACACGGGGAAACTAAAAGAGAGAGAATATGTCAAGAAATACGGCACTGTCATACTTCATATGGAAAAATAAAAATAAATAATCGTATAGGACAAAAAAAAAAAAAAGAAAAGAAGACAACTAATTCCCTTCCCTGTCTGTCAGTAGACTTGTCCGTTCTTTCTTTTACCTCAACTACCCATATTTCTCCAACCTTTCTCCCGTTCCCAGGCGTACTGTCAACCAGTTAACGGCATGACGTCGTCAATGGCGGCAAATCCACTCAAACTTCTCTTTCTTCCGGTAATGTTTGTAAATCGCATCTGTCATTAGCACGACGAGTGTCTACCATTCCTTTCACTGTCAGTCGCAAAAAAGTCTGCCAACAGAGACGAACACATACTGTGATGGAGTAATAATAATGTTTGTCTGTTAGCAAGATGATAGTAGTTGAGGTGCTCGTTTGTAACGAACGTGGTAGTCATGGTTGCGATAAGACTGATAGTGTCTTAGCGATTCATTAGTATGGTACAAGGCGAACCAGAAGAGTGCCAAAAAGTTCATACTTGATTGACAATAAGCCCACATTTATCAGGTAAGCTAGTGGCTTGTATTTTTAAATATGAACCTTCATTGCATGTCCTGAGTATTAATTTTAAGACTTTATGGTCGGAAAAATAAATAAATCTACATTGGAACTTTCAAATTCTTTGACATTAAATAATTCTATTATTAAAGCTTACTTTGATTCCTGTCCATTGACAGTCCCTGATTTTCAATTCATTCGTCCAATAAAATCTCTTACAATGCATATAATTTACATTTGGACTAATAGAGATAAAAAGACAAGAAGGAAGAGCTACGCGTTTCGCCTCTTTATAGATGGCAGCTTCAGATTGTATAAAAGACAAACCCGTGCCTAAGGAAAGTCTATTGGAATATGAGAAAGAGGTTAAAAATCTCTTTATCAAATTGAGGTCGTTAACGTCTGCTGGATTTTAAATTAACTCACTCCTGGTTTTTCTCTCTTAGTTCGTGTACCGCATTCTGCTCTGAAAACTTTTCTAGTGATCAGTAATATCGAATATTAGTCTCTTTCGTGAATTGTGTGATCACTACACTTTCAATACATTTTTTCTAACCAGACTGGCATTTATTAGGTAGGAATTGTGGTCAGATGTGTTGCTGTGAAAAACAAATTCATTTAAACTGTTCTTATGAAATGTGTTCCTGCAATGCGCTTTGTTTTTAGATGAATAAATATTTCGCCGATGTTTATCATTGGACATTTTACGCAATTTATGTTTTAGATTCCTGTATCTGTCTTGTTTCTTGCTGTTATTCCGTTTGTTGCTGACTCTATCGTTTATAGCTTTAGGAGTGGTTTTGAAAAATTTTAGGTCAAGGCAGAATAAGATGTGATAGATCTTCTAAAAAAATGTCTATATAGACATTACAGGGAACTGTTGCATAGCAACACATTAAACAAACTAGTATATCATCATCACAAATCAAACCACAATTTCAACCTCTTACATGCCCATCTCATCAAAAGGAAATTACTAAGAAGAAAATACATTGAAAGTGCACTGATCTCACAGAAAAATCAGAAATCTAAGAACATGTCTTTGCGAACATCAACAGGGATATGTTGCATAGAAACACATTAAACACACTGGTATTTCATTATCACACATATAACCACAATTTCGACCTCTTAAATGCCCATCTCATCAAAAGGAAAAAGAATTCACAAAAAAGAAAATATATTGAAAGTGCACTGATCTCACAATTCTTCGCTGAAACCCTCAAACCGAGCTCAATAGACACCATCGCAAAAATATGAATATCTGAATGCAGTATACAAGTATAAGACAGGAATCTACCGGGAGTTAGCTAATTTCAAATCAAGCAGACATTAACGAATTCAATACAAAAAAAGAGAAATTTTGGGCTAGTAGCATCGGATAAGGATCTTTATTATCTCTTCCTCATATTCCAACACAATTTCCTTACACAAGGATTTGTCTCTTATTCTAAAGACGCCTACTATAAAGAGGCGAAGCGCGTAGTCTGAATAACCTTTCCACTTTGTCACATTATCTGCACTTTTTAATCCTTGAACGCGAAGCATGTTTCGCATATTACATGTAGGTGTTTTATTCAGGGTGTCGCCTGCTCCTCCGAGTTAGTGGGTATGTGATACTTGGGACAACTTCTGCTATGTCAGCTCAACCCCGCCCCATTTACCAACTCCTTGCCTATCTACTTATCCCGATGTGGTGGATGGCAATACAAAATAGAGGCAGCGGACCCCCGCGAAGCACTCGTCCGTCTCCCAACAAGGACGGACCAGAACTCACCCCGATCCCAAGTATGACTGTTAATATAAACCAACGCACGGATATAGCCTATTTCCGGTTATATTGGCACTTGATCTCTGAAAAGCCATTTGCTTCCCATAACCCCCAACCAACACATTAAATTGGATGCCGCTAAGACCGGACCTCAAAAGGGACCATCCGATGGTCTATCAACAAAAACTCTTGAGATTGAAATAAAACAACCTATTCGCTTTTTATGTGGGAATCTATAGTATAACACTACTTGAGGGACAATAGTCTAATGGTTCGTGAATTTAGTGGTATCGTAACTGTGAGTTCAAACCACTGTGCCAGGTCGTATAAACTCAGACTCAGTGAGCAAGTAATAAGGTGTACTAAAAACAAACAAACATCTATTCATTCATACACTTTTGTGTTTGTATAGATGAAATACATTATGTATAAAGGGAAAAAAATTAGGCGTTTCGTTCAATGTGGACTTTTGCAAAGCAAAAAAAAACGAAATGAATTTATTGAAACAAAGTATCTATAAGCAAAATGTTGTTAGTAACTAGAAGAATTTAGAAAAGCTATTGTATATTCATACGGTCGATAGATAGATAGATAGATAGATAGATAGATAGATAGATGTGAAGAGGCTGAAATAGATAGATAGATAGATGTGAACAGGTTGAATTAGATAAACAAATAGATAGATAGATAGATAGATAGATATAAAGAGGCTGAATTAGATAGATAGGTAGACAGATAGATGTGAACAGGTTGAAATAGATAGACAGATAGATAGATAGCCAACATAGACAACAAATATATCAAGAAATCAAAAGAAAATGGTTGAATCCGTCAACGCAACAATACAAACAATATTTCTACATGTGAAAATATGCTGCTTCAAACATAAAGTAATTGACGTAATTTTTCAGTTGACCAAATGAATATGCAATCGCATTTGTAAATTCTTCCAGTTGCTAACAGCATTTTGTTTATTCTTTATAAATTCTTTGTTTCAATAGATTCATTTTGTTTTTTTTTTGCCTTGAAAAAGTCCATATTGGACGAAACGCGTTGGCTAAAACTATAAAGTTTTCCTAATGTGTTTTTTTCTTTATACATATTATCTTTTGCTAAAGTCTTATTCTGAGAAGTTTTTACATATGCATATATATATATATATATATATATGAATATTAAAATTTTAAAAAGCTCATAACATTCCTTCGCGCCGTGTATTTGTTCGCAATGAAAAGCTCACACATGTGGATACAGGTATGCAAAAGATCAATCAGCCATCTTAGAAATATACTATAGCGTCCCAAACATTGAGCTCACATATACCTAGACGTGTTAGGACAGATACTGAAACGACAAATATACTGAAAAGCGTTTACATATATTCATAGCCTACTTTCAATTGTTATTCAAATCAATGAAAGTTTCGCAAGTGATTGTCAGTAAGTTCGGCCCTGATTCAGTGACACTATGCTATCATTCACCATTGAAATAGACTCAGCTAATTTCCGTGAGAATTTCATACAATGGCTGCATTATTTATATTATTCAGTCAAATATCCTTACCTTTGATGTTGTTATTGTCACAACGTTTCGGCCGTTGTACATTCCAGCCTTCTTCAGATATCTATCTATCTATCTATCTATCTATCTATCTATCTATCTATCTATCTATCTATCTATCCAGGCAACATTCAGAAGTTCAAAGGGCCTGACAAAAAAGAACTCAAAACGCGATAATAAAGATGAGGATATTACACTATTTACATTATTCGGACTATTGTCCTCATTTTTGTCGCCATATTTATTACAACGTTTCGGCCGTTGAACATCCCGGCCTTCTTCAGATGGTTGAAATGTTCAACTGAACCCTTTATTTCGCTCACTGGGGTAGACTGCTATAGTTCCATGTGCCCTGTTTAATGGATTTCAGTTATCAGTTATCTCATGTTAATTCTCCTCTCTCCTCTCCAACTTCTCCACTCGACATTCCAACCACCAGAAGAAGGCCGGAGCGTACAACGGCCGAAACGTTGTAATAAATATGGCGACAAAGACGAGGACAATAGTCCGAATAATGTAATTAGTGTACATAATACCTCATCTCAGAAATATAGACAGATACTGAAAGGCCGAAACGTTGTAATAAATATGGCGACAAAGATGAGGACAATAGTCCGAATAATGTAATTAGTGTACATAATACCTTATCTCAGAAATATAGACAGATACTGAAAGGCCGAAACGTTGTAATAAATATGGCGACAAAGATGAGGACAATAGTCCGAATAATGTAATTAGTGTACATAATACCTCATCTCAGAAATATAGACAGATACTGAAGGCTCGAAACATTGTAATAAATATGGCGACAAAGATGAGGACAATAGTCCGAATAATGTAAATAATGTACATAATACCTCATCTCAGAAATATAGACAGATAATGAGGATATTAGTCCACATGTAAATAAAATAAATAATTATAAATACTCCACACACAGAGATTCAAGCATCTATATGAATGCGTATCTTTTATAAAATCCTCTGCATTGCATTTCTATAGCAAAAGCTGTTAGGAAATTTACGTAACAGGTCTTACATTATAGATTTTACCACTATATACTCTTCAAACTACGTACAGAATTTCGTTGAACCATATGGATATAAATGTTGTTCTTGACTTGTTATCTTGTATAAGAGAAACCGAATAAGCCACTCCTCAATTGAGCGTAGAGGAAGGTAAAGTTATTTTCTAATGTTTGCAGTTATTAACGGGATGTGGTTTTGCATTGACAACGCTGAAAGAGACTTTCTTTAACATTTGTTTACACAAAGGGAAGAGAGGTGGATTTTTCTGTGACAGAAAAAGTAATTAAACGGAACCTACTGCTGTGAATATTACATATTAATCAGAAGCAAAAGTTTCAGTCAATGTCTTTTAAAAAGAATGGCTTCTTTCGGAACAGTTAGGTTAATGAAATTCTAACAGAAGAAAATTGAGTTTTTCATTTTCCGATATATGTATATATATTTACATACACACAGTAAAAAGAACCTTCAGATATTGGAGGCCATCTACATTAAAACAAAGGAAGTTACACACAAAAAAATTACATTTTAAATAATCACAACACATTACATTGCATCAAGACATTGATTCTGTTGTAATAATTTGGTCTGTCGCGTGGTATGACGTCATAGAACCGCATCTTGAACATACGAAATATGATGAAAGCGGAGTCCTTAGGAATCCATTGGTAATAATTTATTTCACGGGATCAAACGCCCAGCTGAACAGACCCAAAAATTTTACGACGATAAATGGATTTTAAATTTACACAAGACACAAGCAAAAAAAAAAAAAAAAAAAAAAAATAGAAAACAGAAGAAAAAAAAGAAGAAAAAGTAAAAAGGAAAGGAGAAAAAGCGGGAGTAGAAGATAGTAAAGAAGAAGGGAATTTATTATTATTATATTTGCCTGTTCTTACATTCTTAATTATATATATATATATATATATATATAATATTTAACAGATATTAGTTGATAACACAACAATACTCACACATACACACAGTAAAAAGAACCTTCAGATATTGGAGGCCATCTACATTAAAACGAAGCAAGTCACACTCAACAAAATTACATTTCAAATTAGTCACAACACATTACATTGCATCTAGACATTCATTCTCTAGTAATACTTCGGTCTGTCGCGTGCTATGACGTCAAAGGACCTCATCTTGAACATACGATCTGCGACTGCTATTCCACGACCTTTATCGTCGCATAGCAATTTTCTATATCAAAATAACAAAATATCATCTTTGACGGTGGATGTCTTTGTTTCATGTCTGTATAACCACTCTAAGGATGGCTCATGTGAGCCGAAAGCTTAGGATCAACTTAATAAAAAATATCCAAATGTTGGACAATTTTTGTCTTTATTTTTAGCCGAAATTAAAGCAAACATTTGAACATTAGAACGCTAAGGATCAGGCATAATAGACATTCAATTGTTTTGTTATATTTAATAATATATGTTTACACACACACACACACACACACACACACACACACACACACACACACACACACACACACACACAATTTAAGAACAGAGCAAATTTAATAATAAAAGCGGAGTCCTTAGAAATCCATTAAGGTGATAATTTATTTCATGGAATTAGGCGCCCAACTTTTTCTCTTCCCCGCTAAAAATTTTTCTTTCCCCATTTTTTTAAAACCTTATTCCTTTTTCCTTTTCTCATTTCTCTCTCTTCTACCCTTTTTCTTTTTTCTTTTCCTTGTGTCTGAATGAATTTAAATTTCATTTATCTTTGTAGTTTTGGTTTAAAGAGATGGACATCTAAATGGATTTCTAAGGACTCTGCTTTCTCTCTCTCTCTCTCTCTCTCTCTCTCTCTCTCTCTGTATATATATATATATATCCAGGTAAAATGAGAACGAACATAGTACAAATTCAAACGTTCGTAACATTTAATTTAAAAGAGGACTCAATCCAAAGGAAAACAATATTCTTTATTTTAGGATCTTACATCGAAAACATGTCAACATCACTACACAATTACAGTCGTGTTTCGATGCGCATACAGCGCATTTCATTCTGTGAGAAAGGCCCTATATATAAAACATCTCGCTCTCACTATCAACATCATCTGATTCAGCAGGGGTAATAAGGTGATGAAAACTTTTTAAAAAGCAATAGAAAGACGCACACTTGAATTCCAGCCGTGCTCAATGCACGAAGATCGGAATAAAAGCTCCCACTATTATTCAAAACAACACAAAAACATATCTCATATAGTCAAGCATGAAGAGAAATTAACAATACCACAAAACAAAGTCCCTTGAAAATGGCTAAAGATGTGGCCGAAAGCGCTTGGAACAATAGACAATACGGAGAATTTTTGCCCTCTTTTACTCTCAACAAACAGAAAAATGTAAAAATGCTGAAAAACTAAATAAAAAATTAATTAAATTTTTCCTTGTCTTCATTCAACGAAACATGTTTAAAAAAGGCTGAAATATTAACAACAGAACGATATGTCTCGATGCAATTCAATGGGTTGGGACTAATCAGTAACATGTTTCAATAATGATCTGCTGCCCTAATATACTAAATTCAAGTTATACACATATAAGCAAGGACTTTCGTGTTGTTTTTCACGTATGAGGGTTCAATAGTTCAGTTCTTAGGACCGAGCAGCTAGACTCCCCGCACATAGGTGAAGGCAGAACCAGTCACACTTTTTAGAAGAACCAAATACAGGGAACTTGTGCACAGTGTAGCACAAAATTTTCAAACGACTCTCCTCGGGTTTTGAATTCCAAGCTCTCCTTTTCATAGAATGGCTGCCAACCATGGATATGTAGGACCCAGTCTGTTCTGCTATTTACTCATAGCTGGAATGGGAACAGATGGATTTATACCCTTTCCCAAGGGTATTTGCACGAACTATTATCTCTAATTTCGCATCCCGAGATGCCATCCATATCAACAGAGCGGAGAGCGTGTTGCTTTCCCTTTTATTATTATCAGAGCTTCCATTATTTTTAATCTTTTTTTTTTACATGTGGGTGTGACTATTTTACTTGTATTTTCTACCAGTATGTTTCGGGTGGGCCTTGGTAGGTGTGCGTGTTTCAATGAGTCATAATTAAACTATGACTGGGTGGGTGTAACGTGAGTCGTCTAGATAGACATGTAGTAGTATGGCTAATATAATTATTTATTTTGAGTTAAGGGGCATTTAAACGCGTAAATA